ATTTCCTGTTGAATTTCCATCTCTTGTTGTGTTTACGATAGTATCCTGACCTCCTTCTCTAGGACCTTCCATTTGCTTTCCCCCCAGGTTTTTTCCAGACAAAGTACCATAATCTTAATAGTATCATTCTCTGAATTTGTCCCAGATCATATGCAGAATACTTCCTCTTTGCTAGAACTGAAGAAAAGCCAAGACTGAAGTTTCCCCCAAGCATTCTTCCCTCTCAATTCCATCAGTACCACATCAAATTAATATTCCATCTCACCATTTGTGACTTTATAATCTCTTTTCCCTCCAAATCCTTGTCTGGAAGTCATTTCCATTTCAGCAGGTTCGAAAGCGTACCTGCGCAAGTAGATAAATAGGTAGGTAAGGTAAATGGCATTTCTGTCACAGTGTCCCATTGTGCCAGAAGCAGTTTAGTCATGCTGGCCACATGACCCAGAAAGCTCTCTGTGGACAAACACCAGCTCCCTTGGCCTGAAGCGAAATGAATGCCACACCCCATAGTCTCCTTTGACTGGACTTAACCATCCTGGGGTCCTTTACCTTTACCGTTTTACACAGATATTTCAATGTCACAAATTACTTGGAGCAGCCCTAGAGCCATACTGAGAGCTTGTACACACTTCTGCTTTTTCCTGCCTAGAAAGCATGGGCTTGAATGGTTTTGCCTCTTCCCTGTCTTTGAAAACCCACACTTTAGTGCTAAATTGGAGCAAAAGTCAGTCTGGAGAAAACCCAATTAACGTTTGCTTTGATTCAGAGGTAAACGGTAGGTCTTCCCAGGGGCAAGTTGCAGGGCTAGTGGAAATGTGGATGAGTCACACACACAAAGCAAGTGGCTCCACATGAAGCTGAAGGATGGAAGGTTCAGGACAGACAAAAGACAGTCATTCTTCATGCATGCCTATGGAGCTCACTAACACAGGAGGCAATGATGGCTTCAAAAGAGGATTTGATCTATCAGGAGACCTTGCCAACAAAGGTCCGTATAGTTAAAGCTATGGTTTTCCCAGTAGTGATGCATGGAAGTGAGAGCTGGACCATAAAGAAGGCCGAAGAATTGATGCTTTTGAATTATGGTGCTGGAGGAGGCTCTTGAGAGTCCCATGGACTGCAAGAAGATCAAAGCTATCCATTCTTGAGGAAACGGATGTGCTCACTGAAGTGCTCACTGGAAGGACAGATCCTGAAGCTGAGACTCCAATACTTTGGCCACCTCATGAGAAGAGAAGACTCCCTGGAAAAGACCCTGATGTTGGGAAAGATGGGGGGCACAAGGAGAAGGGGACGACAGAGGACAAGATGGTTGGATAGTGTTTTCGAAGCTACCAGCATGAGTTTGACCAAACTGCGGGAGGCAGTGGAAGACAGGAGTGCCTGGCGTGCTCTGGTCCATGGGGTCACGAAGAGTCGGACACGACTAAACAACTAAACAACAACACTAGCCACGTAGGCAGTGCTTTGCCTCCACATTCAGAGGCAGCAATGCTACTTAATATCAGTTGCTGGAAACTGCAGGAGGGGAGAGGGCTCTTGTGCCCAGGTCCCGCTTGCTCATTTCCTTTAATGGGCAACTGGATGGTCACTGTGAGAGCAGGACCAGTTGAACCATTGGCCTGATCGAGCAGGCTCTGTATTTGTTCTTATGGCCAATCATTAATTTACATTGGCTTACCTCCTTCCCCAGTTGATTTCCTATCAGATCAAACCCATGCATCCTCTCTTGTAGAGCATCAGGAGGATCCAATCTCAGAATAGCAGGAATGGGACATACCCCCACCCCAGGTTTCCCAACATTGCAGAGCTGCCTGGTCTGCGAGTCCCCAACATTCACACCTCATGCTAATGATGTTCTCTTTTCCTTAAATGCAACAAAGACATGGCAAAGAACATCTCCGGCTGAGTTCTCACGAAGGTGCTGGCAGCAACTGAACCAACCCCTAATTTAGGTCACCTTGTGTATCAACCACAGCTAGTTCAGAATATTCCTAAATTTAATTATCAGAGGATAAAAAAGACAGACACAATTTGACATGATTTCCTCTCCCTTACATTCTGCCCCCACCCTCCCACTCTACACATTGAGCTACATTTTATTCTACTGGGAACATTGAGGGTCCTCCTAGCAGCCCCACCTTGAAATAAAACACAAATGCTTATTCTGCTCACATCACTTCATGTTTGCATCACATTTCCCTTTAGTTATTCAGTTTACTTTGGTTGCCTCCCCTTGCATTACCCTCCCCCATTTTGGATTCAAGTTGGCCTTTTCATTCTGTGCTTAAACAGCTCTCTCTCACATACACACACCTCGAAGCACAGACAGTCTCAGGCCCATGCCAGGGAGTTCTTGTAGGTCCTTTCCAAGGCTTGCAAGACCTGCTGCTCTGCACTTTAGCAGGGATTTTGTGTTCAACCTGCTAAAAGATTAAAAAGCTGATGGAACCATCTTTAGGCTCATTCCCCTTGCCCTATGCCTAGTAACCACAGGTCTGAGCAGTTTCTTTCTGGCACGAGTCTGAGTGGTTTCCCCCTTGCCCCACTCCTTTGCCGGGGGAACCCCACTCTTTAGTGCTAAATCAGAGCAAAGGTCAGTACAGAGACAACCCGTTTGTTCTAATTGAGTGCTAAAGAGACATTTTCCTCAGGGGAAAGCAGTGGGGCGAGAGGAAGTATGGATGAGCCCTTATTGAAATACTGTAGTTGGGTGCATGTTTGTGCATGTAGGAAGACAAGTTACAAAAAAACAACTTGCTGCTGTCCTCCAACCCTAACCATGGCCATTTCCCCATGACTACTGAGCATGGGCAAATGTTCACAGGCAGGTGTGTGAGAGAGAATGCGCTCCCACCAGAAAGAGGACTGAAAAGTGAGATGAGCGCCACACCCCATAGTCACCTTTGACTGGACTTAGCCGTCCAGGGGTCCTTTACCTTTTACCTTTGCTGGAGGGAGGGCCTTCCTTAATCCATCTTCAAGCAGAGCCCTGCTGAGCTGCACACTGTGGGAGCTGAACTAAATGACCTCTGAGAATCCTTCCAACTCAGCAGTGCTGTGAAAAGCAGTATCAACGCAGTGCTGCCCACCTTCAGCCCACCTGTGACACAGAAACATTCCCTAGCAACAACTTCATGGCTCAAGCACAACCACTGATGGGTTTAGGAAAGCCTTCTGAGCCTCCCCTGTGACCACAACAGGCAATACTGGGCTCAGTGAAAAAACTGTTCTGACCTGCATGGAGGTAGCTTTCTGTCATATGTTAGGAAAGCCAGGGGGAAGGTCCACCTCCCCCTTCCCTAATACCTCCTATGGCAACACCTATCTGCCACCGTGCTCTTTATGTCAATCATCTACATGGCAACAGGCCTGTGAATCAATCCTCAATCCTTTGCACATGAAGCCTTGGTTTGTTTGCAAAGAGAGATTGAGAGGGAGGCAGTTTGCACCTGAAACCCACCCTCCCCAGGCCAGGAGATCCTGGCTTGGCCTACATGGGCAGCAGGTGCCTGTGGGTAACCTCAGAGCCAGCAGTACCTGTCCAGGGGGCAGCACTATGTATGTGGCAGGGGAGGGGAAACCCCCATGCAGGGCCATTGACTCATCCTCCCTTCCCAAAGCCAGAGGCCAAGGACAGGTGTCTCTCCCCATCCCCATCCCCATCTTGCTAGTCCTCGATGCAGCCACTCAGGCCAAGTAGCTCCTGCCTCGCAGCTGAATCCTGGCTTGGTCTCACCAGGAGCTCCTTCTCCAAATGTTGGGCCTGCTGCAAGGTAGTGAGGTTCACCCTCCCGCTTCCCCAGAGTCCCTGTGAGGCTCGTTTTGTGACTGAATTGAACATGACACATCATTATTCGGATCATATTCCACAGTGTCAGAGCCCATCTCCCAGTCTGCCTGGATTTTCTCTCTGAGAAGAGGGCCTGGCTATCCCTGTCAGCGTCTTTTCCACATCCCACATGATCGCTCCCAGAGACAGCCCTTTAATGTAGCACTCACTCGTAAAGTATGTTCTCTTTAAAACATTTATTTGCAATTTACATCATGAGTAAATATTAATGGGATGAGGCTTTGAGCAAATGGAAACAGATTGTGAGGCTGACAGCAGGGGCAACTGCCTTCCCTGTGGCTTACACCAGTTCAGGATCCTGTTCTTCAGGGAGATGCTCTGTGCTTTTCACTGAGCTGTGCATTTTCCAGTTCTGGTGAGGGCTGCATTGACTGCCCCATGTCCATTTATTTGACCTGCAAGGGGGGGGGGATGAAGTAGAAAAGGTCCCCTCCCACCACCTCCCCTCATTCTGTTTAGCAGATTTGTGTGAAATGGCCATTGCTGAAAGCACCAACCTTGATGAGAAAGCTGGCTGCTTGCATCCAGCACGTTACAGTTCCAGCTACTTATAAGAACATAATATTGGGATGTGAATAGATGCTAGGAGAGGATATAAAGTTAAAGGTAAAGGGACCCCTGACCATTAGGTCCAGTCGTGGATGACTCTGGGGTTGCAGCGCTCATCTCTCTTTATTGGCCAAGGGAGCCGGCGTACAGCTTCCGGGTCATGTGGCCAGCATGACTAAGCCGCTTCTGGCAAACCAGAGCAGCGCATGGAAACGCCGTTTACCTTCCCGCCGGAGCGTTACCTATTTATCTACTTGCATTTTGATGTGCTTTCGAACTGCTAGGTGGGCAGGAGCAGGGACCGAGCAACAGGAGCTCACCCGTCTCGGGGATTCAAACCACCGACCTTCTGATTGGCAAGTCCTAGGAGAGGATATATTTATTAGTTATTATCCCTCCTCCCTCATGTTTGTGAGTCAGCAGTGCTATCTCATTGCAGCTTAAAAGGGTATCTTAGGCTAATTTTAGCCTTTTCATTCAACTAATCCGGGACGTTTTAAGGCAGACTGGATTTTCCTGGAGTTTCCCCCTTAAAACAATAACCACACAAACAGTCTTGTAAAAGGTAAAAATAACATTTACTCACTCAGAATACTTTTTGAAGAGTAACAGACACAGCAGCTTTGTTCAGGCAGGCTTAAAATGGTAATTCAGTTACAAAGACATACTTAAGTTAGCTTAAAATGGCGTCTGAGCTGGAGCTCAGACTTGGCAGATGTTCTCACATTGCTGGCACAGCAGAAAGAGATGAAAAAGAATAAGGAGAGTCTGCCAAGGCAGGCAGGAGAATATATACAGCTACACCCTCCCCCCTGTCAGGGCAGAGTGGGAGCATCTCTTGCAAAGTTCTCTAGCAAGTTTACAGGAAAACTCCTTCAGCTCCTATTATGTGCCTATCTAGCAAAACATGAATTGTTGATTTGACAGCCTTTTAAACATCCCACACATAAGATGAGCCCTGCGGGATCAGGCCAATGGCCCATCTTAGTATAGTATCCTGTTCTCACAGTAGCCAGCCAGATGCCCCAAAAGGGAAGGAGCTTGCCAGCAGGACCTGAGCACAAGAGCCCTCTCTCCTTTGTGATTTTCAGCAACTGGAATTTAGAGCTGTTCGGTCTCTGGCCATGGAGACAGAGAACAGACATTGTAATAAACTACAGGGGGTGGGAGTGGTGGTGGAATTTGGAGGATATGCAGTAGGGTGAGTGAGGGGACAGCAATGGCTTTTTCTCAACTGAATATTACAGACAAAAGCATTTTAAATGTGTCACGTCTACATAGAAAGCCTCCCTGGCCACTGCAGCACCACCAAACCCCTATATGTCGTAGCCAACATGGGTCAAGAGAGAAGCCTCACAGTCTCCCAGGGCAGCAACTCTTTAGACCGGAGGGGGCTGGCAGCTGCACCCTACAATCCCAGCTTTGGCAAGTGAGGAGGAAAGGAGAGGCGAACTTCAAAGTCCTCCTTTTGTGCAGACATTTACTGGAGGAAACTCAGAGATAGAGATAAGCAATCCAGTACACAATGTTGAACAGCAGGAAGGCTGTGGGGAAGAAAACCCGGGAGTAGGAGTCCAGGCGGGAAATGTGGATGCGGATTCTGCCCTCTCGCCAGGTGCCCGTCTGACAGTCCTCAATGCAGCAGAAGAACCGCTGACACTCCTTCCCTTCCAAGCAGGAGGGCTCCAGGTCTTCGCTCTCCACCTCTTCACTGTTGCCCTCGACTTCAGGGGGCCAGTGCACCAGGCTGTTGATGTTGATGGCAGTGTAGGAGGGCATCATCAGGTGGGCATGGCTGGCTGCCTGGAGAAGGACAAGGAGCAAATGAGAGAAGCAGAGAAGGGGCACAGGGGCTCCCCCCTCCATACCTTGTGGAACTGGCAATCAAGTGCTGGCTTGGAAGGTGGTAGCAGGCGCAGCTCAGGGGTGTCCTTTTCTCCATCCCTCTGGCACAACTTTCAGAGGGGGAATAGACCAGCTTGACCCCCTCCCTAACCAATTAGCCCAACTGCCTTCTGGGACAAGGTTTGGGGCCCCCCAAGGATCATCTGGAGTGAGGAGCCCCCCACCTCACCCCACATCCTTTTTAATGCAAATTCCTGATGAACTTTGCACTGTTGACGCTTCTGGGGTGGTTGCACACTCCAAAAGCATCAAGAGCACAAAAGAATACTATTTGCAGCTGCAAAAAGCTTCAGGGCAATCACAGTGCTTCACTTCCAGTCATCACATCTCCCGTAATTTGCTGCTTGAAACCTCATAACTTTGTTATACTGCAAAACGCTCTGGTTTATTTTTCTCTGGCTTTTCCCTCTGGACAGCAATAACGTGGTAGCATCAGGGTAATACCACAGAGCTACTGATAAGGCAGAATAAATCTACCACTAATGTGCTATTTATTGCATCAAGAGCATGTTGCAGAAAACATACCGGCTACAGCAAAATGCCAGCCTGGAGGGGTCCCTCATCACTTTCCTCCTTCTGCTGGCTCCTTCCCTTACCTGGATCCTTTAGAGGGACCCTGGGTGAGGCACCAAGCTCTGCCAGGCAGTGTCGTCCCCCCCCCCCCGCCCCGCCATCCCGCTCACCAGTCTGGGTTTCCTGCTGCTATGCTGTGCTGGCTTCTTGTTTCCTGCCAGGTAGTTGAGGGTGGCATACTCCATGAGGGCTGCAAAGACGAAGATGAAGCACACTGAGACAAAGAGGTCCATGGCAGTGATGTACGAGACCCGGGGCAGGTGCTTGCGGGAGATGGTGCTCAGGGTAGTCATGGTGAGCACGGTGGTGATTCCTGGGAACAGGAGGAGAACACCTGGGTGAAACTGCTGGACGCCTTGTTGAAGGTACAAGTTTAATTGTATATAAAATGTTGTATTTAATTGCATTGTATTCAAGTTGTTGTAAAAGAAGCTCTAGGCATATAGCTAGTAATTTTTCCACTTGGTGTGGTAGGCTACCTAGTGACTAAGCCTTGTGACTAGATCAGGAATACAGTGGTACGTCCAGTTACGAACTTAATTTGTTCCGGATGTCCATTCTTAACCCGGAACTGTTCTTAACCTGAGGTCCGCTTTCACTAATGGGGCCTCCCGCTGCTGCTGCACCACTGGTGCACAACTTCCGCTCCATCCCAGGGCAAAGTGTGCAACAAGGGGCATCTACTGCCTGGTTAGCGGAGCTCGTTACCCGAAGCATTTGTAAGAAGGATGGTACGTAACACAAGGTTCCACTGTATTAGGATTGCTACTCAACAGACAAGCTGTAATATGAGTGCTTCCATGTATGTGTACAAGTGGTGGCCATTTTAGGCACATCCAACTGACGCGCAATTGCCAATGCGCAGGTCCTTTTGGACCTGGAAGAGGGCAGAGTGGAGGAGGAACAGGGTGTAATGGTTATAAGCACTCCACCAATGTGCGTGGGGGCCAGAAACAGAACACCCCCCCTCCAAAAAAAATGGTTGCCACCTGTATATATGTAAATGAGACTGTTTGCAACACAAAGATGCAGGTAGGCTGTTGCCAGCAAGCAGGAGAAGGACAAAAACACAGTATGTTGACTTTAGCAGAAAGCTACATTTTATTAAAGACATTTAAAACCTCACCCTAGGATTAGTGTAAGCAAGGTTTGTAAGAATGAAACTCAGTGCTTGTTTTTCTGCAATGTATCTTTTTGTTACTTTGTAATATTTAAAACCATGCTCTGCAAGTAAAAATTTATTTCTTGAGCTGAAGAAAATTTATTTCTACACAAGGGTCAGATCAGATCTTCCTCTGGCACCATATCTAACATGCCTATGACCACCAAGTGGAGTGAGTGAGCCATGGGAAACCATGGACATGGGGCTTGGCTTCACAGGCTTCGGGGAAGGGGCTGGAAGGGGTCAGCACAGTTGCTGTGGAGGTGTATGAAATCCACGTGGATTGGTTTTTCAATGCTGCTACTAATAAAATCAAATATATATTCTTTCTAATTCTCCTCTCCCCCCCTCCACAATCCACACCCATTTTTGATGATGTTTAATTTAGACCCCACCCCCACCCACCCAAAATATTTGCCATTAAAATGCCATGTTTGAAAAGCATCCTTAATTGTCTTAAAAGCCAAACAAGACTCAGGATGCAGAGAATTCTAATGAGATTGAGACAAGGAGCTGCTTTAGGCCGTGGTTGAAATTGCTGATGGAGATGGGTTTGTTCCTCCCAAGAAACTTGGCATCTTTTCCCCTGGTGGGCAAAGGGGGGTGGTCCAGAGATCCTATCACACAATAATTTGGACAATAATTTGGCATGTTGCAGGGCAGGAGGAAGTGCAGAGAGACAGGGGTGCAGAGGCAGGGAAAGAACCAACTCTCTGGTAGGAAAAATAGCCTGCCTGGAGCCATGAGCTCTGTGTTTGTTCAAAGAGCCCACACCTCCAGCTCCAGAACTTGTCCTCTGGTCTTCTCCAGCTGTGAGTACCAGTTGTACAGATGCCATGACAGGACCTGGGGCTGGGCCAAGAAGATCCCCATGTACCCTAAACTTGCCCCACAAATGAGGGTGTGCATGGAACTGGAACATCACCCACAATCACCAAGTAGATTATTATTGTTGCAAAGTTGCACACAACCCCAATTCTGCCAAGTAGTGCATGAGATCCCAGGGGGTTCCAGATGCTCACCCAGAGATGTGTTTCTGTTGAGAATCAAGACACAGTGGAGGTTGAAGTGTCTTTTAAAAATATGGTTTAATTACACATATTTACACCTGAGTTTATGGAATGCGTTAGGTTTTAGGGGAGGGGTAGTACTTCTGGTTATGCTCCTTCTGGGGACATTTGTCTACCTTTGGTTCCCACCCTGCACTCATCTCTCAACTGTGGCTCCTAGAAGCTGTCAGAATGTGACAATGGGCACACCGTGGGAAATGGTTTCCACTGACCAGCTAAACCAGGTAGCCAATGGGTCTCAAACCCTCAGTGAGTTAGGGACTTCTCACTGCATGCAGTCTATGTTGGATTGAGCGGATGAGACCAATAGTCAGTCCAATGGTCAAGAAGGCAGTTTCTGCACATGCTGTAGAGGGAAGGGAGGAGCAGATGGGGCTCATCAACCTGGGAAGGTAGCCCATCTAAGAAAAGGTAAACTTTGATTCTATACCTCCACTGCCTTGCAGCTATACTCATTCATCAGAAAGGCTTCGCGAGTAAACCCTGATGAACAGTCCATACCCCCTGCCTTGTGGGTCATATTTGGGAGAAGAAAAGGCTGAGGAGGAAAACCTACACAAATCAGGAGTGGAGTCCCTAAGGCAGTTGGATAGTGCCTTGTATGCTTCCTTTAGGCAGCTCCTGCAGCTGAGTTGGTGCCAAACATATAGCTCTGCTTTCCTTTGGACCACTGGAGAGGTGCTGCTAACACAGCAGTTTCACCCCTAACGATATATTCCATTGTGTCTTGAGACTGACGGCTGCCAACAACACCAGTGGTGTTAGACCTCTTTGCCTTTGGGCCACAGCCCTCCCCTGCAAGGGTCTTCCCCTCCTCACAAGAGTCATTCTAATTCCCTCAGCTTCCCTCCAGCTTGCTTCATCTCTTCCCTCTCAGTTTTGAGTGAACTAGCCTTCTTGCTCCATCACGCCATGCTGCCTGGTGTAGTCATCCCACTGAGATGGAATAACCACTGTACTTGGCTCCACCTCTTGGGTGCTGCAGGGGTTAACCAGAGCTGAGGGCAATGCCTTCCTTACCCAGAGATGTTCTGGCTGGTGTAGAGTCTCTCTTGATCCAGAAGGAGACCCAGGAAAGGACCACCGTCAGGATGCAGGGGATGTAGGTCTGGATGGCAAAGTACCCCATCCGCCTGCTCAGGTCAAAGGAGACGGTCATGACTATGTACTCCCCTAGAGAAGGCCACAGAGAGGCGGGCAGGTCAGAAGAACAGGCCACTCTGCAAATCACATTGCCACCTCTGCATGCCTTGATTTTATGCTGGGCTGCTGCAGGAGTCATGGCTTCCAGCTTGAAAGGCCATCTAAAGGCACCACACATGGTCTGATACTTGTATTTTCAGTTGAGGTAACACAGGAAATGACCCAATACCTACGTAATCTGACCATTCGTCCATCCAGCTTAGTATTGTCTATGCCAGGCATGGGCAAACTCGGCTCTCGAGATGTTTTGGGACTACAGTTCCCATCATCCCTGACCACTGGTCCTGTTAGTTAGGGATGATGGGAATTGTAGTCCCAAACCATCTGGAGGGCCAAGTTTGCCCATGACAGGTCTATGCTGACTGGCAGCAATGGCTCCTCAGGGTTTAGGCAGCGAATGTTTCTTAACACTACCTGGAGATGCCCAGCATGAGACTGAAACTGGGATCTTCTGCATGCCAAGCAGGTGTTCTGCCAGACATAGGCCCTTCCCAAGGGGGAGGCTGTGCTTCTGCAGCAATGCTCAACAATGTCTGGAACTACCTTCACCACTGGAGCTGCACCTGCTCCATTTCCCTCCTTGGCTCCTAAATCCTTTTGCTCACCACTTTGTAGGAAACATGTCTGTGAGAACTCTGGGTGTGGCCAACACGGGGGTCCAGAATCAGAGACCAGGAGGAAGACCAGAGTTCAGACCTGCCCCCCTGCAGTCTGGTCTGTGTGATGATCTATGCGTGCTTACAATGTGCCATATATGTGCATATATGAGGAGGGATACTTGATTGCTTTGTGAAAGGAAGGCCCCTTGGAGAATTCCCCCCCCCCCAGTTTATTAACTGAATAACCTTGCTTTCTTTTAGCCAAATATTACAACAGCCTCCAGCAACCAAATTCAACTAGCTGGGAAAATGCATGATTAAGGCAGCCACCTTCCTGGAAGAAGGAACACTTGCCTTTTAGGCCTATCAGAGAGAATGGCTCCAATTGAAACCTTCTTTTTCCAAGCAATAAAAAAATCCTCATTTGCAGTCTGCCAATCATAAATGGATTAAGAGTATGGATTAATCAAATCATGATTTTAGCATAAATATTTCCTTTTCCAATATAGCTTGTAGGAGTTTTGAATGTGCTCAGTAAGTGGGGCTCAGGAACTGCAAGGGGACTTCCAGGGAACTGGACGTATTAAAATGAACTCCAGAGAGCCCAAAGAGGTCCTGTGCCAGAGTGGAGGGGAAGCCCTGAAGGATGTGGTGGTGGTGCCCTAAGGACAGCCTGGTATCTGCTTTTGGGAGCGGGGGAAGGAAAAGGAAGCAGCTACAGCTTCTGTGGGCTCTCAGCAAGAACTGGGGGGGGGGGCAGAGAGAGGCTGCCTCTGCACCCTCCACTCCCGCCTCCTCCTGCCCTCCCAACCCTCCAGTCTCCAAACTATTCACTTGTTTTTCGTCTGAAAAAGCCACCACCTACAATGTGGCCAACTCCTGTGGGACATATGTCTTACCAGCACCTGTCCTGAGCACCTCAGATGTGTTCCTCAGACCTGTGAAGTCAAACTGGTAGAGCCTCCAAGTTCGCTGGTCAGAGACTTCAATAGAGTACCTTCTCCAGCGGTAGATGATCTCCTCTCGTGGGTAGCCATCTGGAAGGAGCAGAGCAGACACAGGCAGGAAGGTCAAGGCCCATGTAAGGTGGATTCTCTTGCAAGCCACCTCACAGCTCCTCCCTCCTGTTAATTTGATGAAAGGGGCTTTACACTCTGTCCCCCAGGAGATATGTGATGTGCCCACTGGGCTGGCTCAGAAGAACTGCTAGCCAAGGAAGATGTGCAAGGACTCTTTTTAACCACCCTGCCCATCTGTGGAAGGTTCCTGATTGCATCTCCTCACCAGGGAAGCGTCTATGTAGCTCAGTGGTAGAGCATCTGCCTTTTATGCAGAAGGTCCCAGGTTCAATCCACAGCAGCATCTCCAGGTAGGGTTGCAAAGGACTTCTTTCTTGAAACCCTGGGGTACCATTGCTACCAGTCAGTGTAGACAATACTGAGATAGATTGTTTCCTTTTTTGCTTCACATTATTTTCAGGGCAACAGAGGGGGTCAGGAGGACATGAGCTGCCTGGTGGTAGCTGGCAACCCCCCTTCCTAACAAGGGGCAAGACAGGGCAGCTGTCTACCAGCTCCATCTGGTACACAGGCTGAGACCCTACCTGCCCACAGACTGTCTCGCCAGAGTGGTGCATGCTTTGGTTATCTCTCACTTGGACTACTGCAATGTGGGGCTACCTTTGAAGGTGACCCGGAAACTACAACTAATCCAGAATGTGGCAGCTAGAATGGTGACTGGGAGCGGCCACTGAGACTACATAACACCAGTCTTGAAAGACCTACATTGGCTCCCAGTACATTTCTGAGCACAATTCATAGTGTTGGTGTTGACCTTTAAAGCCCTAAATAGCCTTGGTCCAGTATACCTGAAGGAGCGTCTCCACCCCCATCGTTCTACCCAGACACTGAGGTCCATGCGCAGGGCCTTCTGGCGGTTCCCTCACTGCGAGAAGCCAAGTTACAGGGAACCAGGCAGAGGGCTTTCTCAGTAGTGGGACCCGCCCTGTGGAACACCCTCCCACCAGATGTCAAACAACAACTACCAGACTTTTAGAACACATCTGAAGGCAGCCCTGTTTAAGGAAGCTTTTAATGTTTGATGGATTACTGTATTTTAATATTTTGTTGGAAGCCGCCCAGAGTGGCTGGGGAGGCCCAGCCAGATGGGCAGGGTATAAATAATAAATTATTGTTATTGTTGTTGTTATTGTTATTGTTATTATTATAGATCTAAGGTTGCCATATGTCTGGAATTTCCTGGACACAGTCGGTATTCAGCCCTCGTAAACAGTCACCAGGTGAAAATTGCTGAAATGTCTGGGGAAATCTGAACTTGTGGCAGCCCATGTTGGAAGTGTAGATTTTGCCAAATTAAAAATAGCTCAAAGACTCAGCCTTTGTCAGAAGCTGTTTGTGGTCCTGAATGTGATCAGACTGCCTCTCTCAAAAGTATGGCTGTTACCCTCAGACGTCCTTTCATTAGGATCCCTGTGCTTTTTGACTGCTAATGATTTCAGAATATTTTATATTGTTATATTTCATTATACCCATGTTACAATTTTTTAATGATTTTGACTGGGTGCATCCATTTGCTAAATAGTAACTTAGCGAACTGTTCACCCCCACATCTTAAATTATTGCTGCTTTAATTTAATATTTATATAAATGTTTTATACAACTCAACCCACTTCGATCTGCAGAACTGGCCATGTTACAGGTGCCACACAATGCTCATTCTGCATTTGGGAGGAATCAATCTTTTAGTGTGGCAGAACCCACACTTTGGAACTCCCTGCCTATTGACACCAAGCAGGTGCCTTCCCTGTACTCTTTTAAGCACCTGCTGGAAATGTTTTTTTAGACAAGCCTACATATGTTTACATACGTTTTAATCTAGTTTTAGCTTGTTACATCTTTTAATTATTATCTGAACATTTAAACAGCTGTTTTCAACTGTTCTTTAACAGATAATTGTTTTATTCTTTTTGTAAACTACTTTGAGGATTTTCTTTCAATTCACATGGTGTATAAGTTTTATGAGATAGGTAAATAAATAAGATAAATATTGATAAGATAACAAAAATAAATCACTTTGCTGGGTAATGTTTTATCTTGTATTTCTCTTAGGATGGTTAAGTGAGCCTTTTTAAAAATAATAAAGAAAGTTCCCTGTTGAACTTATGATAAATAAAATTTGCGGACATTGACTGAGGAAATTTGGAACATGGGGATCCTAAGATTCTGCCTTATGCAGCCTGCAAGTGGCCTGGTCAATGGTTTGTATGGGAGACCACCTAGGAGCCCCCACCCATGATGAGGGAAATGCAGTATACAAATGTAAGGAGTGCCTTACATTCTGAATCTTGCTGTTGGTCCACCAAGCACAGAGAGAGGCTCCTCACAGCAGCTCATGGCATCCCAGGTGCTTCTTGGTGGTGATGCTGCCAGGGATTGAATCCCGGACCTTCTGCATGCTAAGCAGGTGCTGAACCACAGATCCAAGCATGCACACATGCACACACCTCTCCCACTGCTGCTTTGGGTGTGGTTTCCTCTTTACCATTCCTCCCTGGGCAGATACCCTTGAAAAATGTCCCAGTGACTCCTTCTTAGGGTGCCCCCACTGGGACATTTGGGAGTGGTATGGGGAGGTGCCCATGCCCTTAACTGGCCCAGGCACCTTATTTGCTTCTGAGGAGGCAGCATAAGTGGTGGCGTACTGGTTATGGTATTGGACTAGGACCTGGAAGACCAGGGTTCAAGCTAAGCATGTGGCACTGTCATGTGTGAGTGTGGGAACATCTTTTCATGTCTCCTTAGCTTCCTATCCAGCCACTAGCAGCCTCTAGAAGCCCCCCAGGAACAACAATGGCGGTCGTTGAGGAGGATGGAAGCTGCCAATCCCAAAAGGGCTTGGAGATAAAGCAGAAGGAGGACACAGTGGCTGTTAGCTCCCCACATTTGAAATGGGCAGCATTCTGCAGAGCACTTTGAGTTCTTTCCTCAATCAGTGTTGTCTTTTTCATTTGCAGTGGTACCTTGGGTTACAGATGCTTCAGGTTACAGACGCTTCAGGTTACAGACTCCGCTAACCCAGAAATAGTACCTCAGGTAAAGAACTTTGCTTCAGGATGAGAACAGAAATCGTGCGGCGGCGGTGGGAGGCCCCATTAGCTAAAGTGGTACCCAGTGGCGTAGCGTGGGGGGTGCAGGGGGGGGCCGGCCGCACCGGGTGCAACATCTGGGGTTAGGGCAAATCCACAGGTTAGGGGGCGCAAATCCACGGGTTAGGGGGCGCAAATTACTTGCCTTGCCCCGGGTGCTGACAACCCACCCTACGCCACCGGTGGTACCCCAGGTTAAGAACAATTTCAGGTTAAGAATGGACCTCCACAATGAATTAAGCTCTTAACCCGAGGTACCACTGTATTTTTAATGGAACTACAGCCCTCCCTCTGCCCAGGGACTGGGGCACAAGCCCCTTCCCTCAAGTTGCAAATGCTTTGGGCGCCTTGCTCAGCTTTGTCTCTGACTGCTGGAGAATAATAACTGCCAGCCATGCTGCTACCCAAGGCCCTTCAACTGGGACACAGACTGTGGGCAAGACATGCAATCTGCCCCTCAGCCATGACACCCTACCCCCCTCAGCTTGAAAGGACTCGTGACCTGTTCACCCTTGTCAGGCAAGCAAGAGATGCAAAAAGCCCCTATATCCTCTGACCAGGAGGCCTTCCCCACCATTCTCTCAGCACCTGGTAAGATCCAAACAGGTCTTATGCTGCTGGGATTTATACTTGTTTACTACCAAAAATCTGACACAGATGCAAGGGCTGCTCAGAAAGAGGAATGTTGGCGTGATATGGTCTTTTTCTCAAGGAAGAGAAGGAAGAAGGGAGGGAGGGAGGGAAGGAAGGAGAAGGGGAGAGAGAGATGGCTTTGAAGCCATGTTTGCTTTTTCTGGAACATCACTGGCCACAGACAGGTGTTTAGCTGACCTTCTGGCTTGGAATGAAAGGACACAACAGCATCTGGGACTTTGGACCCTGTTCGATCAACAATGGGCATGCAAAACTTTCCATTGCTAGTCCAAGCTGACGCCCTGCTGGCAGTGACAGAGCAAAGACTTTGCAAGCCAATCCATTTCTGTGCTAATTCTAGCACATTTTTGGAAGTGTGTCTGACCCATGTGTGCCCTCTAACCTCAACAGGCCACTAGTCGTATTCTGAATGGTCTCAGGGGGCTTGACAGCACAGGTTCTTATAGACAGCATCCATCATTGTTCCACTTGTAATTGTTGGGTGCAGGCTGACTTGGGGATTGATTCAGACAGTTTTCTTACTGCTCATCTTTTGCAGGTGACTCCCTGCCCCATGCGCGCGTGCGCGCACACACACACACACACACACACCAATCAAGGGTCTGAATCTGAGGGGGAATGGAGCTTCCGCACAGCAGGAGCACAGATGTGTTCAGGGAAGAGTCTCAATTTCTGAGTCCCTCCATAGGCATAAATAACATCCCCTCCCCCAGCAGTCTCACCATCAGAGTGGAAATGAGTTTCTATAAGGTTCCAGTCACGCATCAGGGCTACATGATAAGCTATGAGGTGGGATTAGCATAGGGCCACCACTGGGCCCCATCTGTAGAGTTTCTGCATGTGCAATCCCTCCCCCCCCTTCCCGGTACTCCCTGCTTCTCCCTGTGTTTAGGAAGTGAGGATGTGGCAGAGGAGGCAGGCAAAGCAGAAATGGGGACTCCAGCGAGCTGCCAGCTGCAGCTGTCTCTAGCATCCTGGTTTTCCTCTGCAAATTGAAACGTCAAAACTGTTTCAAAGCAGCGATCTTGATGCCTATATATGATAAATCCTCCCGGGGCGGTGGGAGATACCTCGTAGCATAGCTAAACTATGTTTATAATTAATTGCCAGGCATGCGTGGCGTGTACTGTTAATTAGCTAAGATGCAGAGGAGATGGGGACAGGCTGGGAGGGACTGCTCAGAGCCACGTGGGTGGGCAACAGGGAGAGGGAGGAGGCTGTGCACAGGATCTGTAGCAGTGACATGACAGGCGGTGGCAGGCTGAAGGGCTGGTGCAGTCCAGGAAACAGCAGCAGCACCAGCCAGAAAGCAAACAAATGAACAGGCTGAAGGCGGGGAGCGGGAGGGGGTTTGGAAGGCGACTGTCCCATTAAAAAGGCAGGGAGGGAGGGAAGGAAGGAGCATCATGATGGCGTCCTCTTTGGCTCCCTTCCATACTCAGAGCCACTAAATCAGAATCTGAGTCTATGGGCTGAAAGGGGCTTTGTGTGTTTGGAAGCACATGATGGCCACTGTGAGAGAGAAAGAGACAGACAGACAGAGAGAGCTGTCATTGCCACAATCTACAAAGAAAAGGACTCCATGGGCCACTGCGAGGGAGGGAGGCTGCTGTGAGGACTGCGCCCACACAGAATTTATAGAGATCTGGGGAAGAAGGAAGAACATAAGACGAGCCTGCTGAGTCAGGCCAAAAGGGGCAACCTAATCATAGAATGGTAGAGTTGGAAGGGACCTCGAGGGTCATCTAGTCCAACCCCCTGCAAGGCAGGAATCTCAACTAAAGCATCCATGACAGATGGTCATCTAACCTCTGCATAAAAACTCCAAGGAAGGAGAGTTCACCACCTCCTGAGGGAGTCCGTTCCCCAGTCGAACAGCTCTTGCTGTCAGAAAGTTCTTCCTGATAGTTGATTAGAATCTCCTTGAATGCATTGGTCTGGGTCCTGCCCTCCTGAGTAGGAGAAAACAACCATCTTCCATGTGGCAGCTCTTTAGATATTTGAAGATGGCTATCATATCTTCTCTCTGTCTCCTCTTATCCAAGCTAAACATACTCAGCTCCCTCAACCACTCCTCATAAGGCTTGGTTTCCAGACCCTTGATCATCTTGGTCACCCTCCTCTGCATACATTCTAGCTTGTCAACATCCTTCTTAAATTGTGGCACCCAGAAGTGGACACAGTATTCCAGGTGTGGTCTAACCTAGGCAGAATAGAGCGGTACTATTATGTCCCTTGACCTGGACACTAGACTTCTGTTGATGTTGCCTAGCATAACATTGGCTTTTTTGCTGCTGCATCACACTGTTGACTCATGTTAAGCTTGTGGTCTTCTGGGACCCCCATTTCTTAGACACAACAGCCTCCACTGTATCTTGATTTTCAACAAAAACCCAACCCTGGATGAGCACATGGAACGCCCTGGATTCTCGTACACTGCTCAGCAGAGCTTGGAGGTGGCATGCAACCTCTGCATTAACATTATTTGCTTGGTGATTGAGGTGGAGTGTTCTAGTTCCATGCACAGCCTCTTTGTGGGGCAAGTTTAGCATCTTTTTGCCCTACCCTTCAGTCCCATGGCCCTGTCATGACATCTATGCAACCGGTACTCACAACTGGAGAAGACCAGAGGGCAGGAATGGGTATCCATTGGGAAGTTCTGCAGCTGGAGGAGGCACTCAGCTTCAATGGTCAACCTGGGGAAGAGATGGAGATGGGGAATACTAGTTTGACAGCTGCTGCAGAAGCACAACTAACCTTGTATGAACATCAATACTTCTGGAGCCTCTCTGGAGCATTTTAGCATCCACTCAAAGGGTGTGTCAGAAGCCACCTGAGGCCACCAAACCCACATCTAGGCCCATTTCATGATCCATTTATTTCATTCTAAGGCTGGATGTCTCCTTCCCTCTGTGATCCAGTCTGAGAGCAAATGGAACTGGATCCATTCTGCACGAAGAGGCCAGTTGGATGTTCTCTTTGTAGGTGAAAGCCAGGAAGAGACAACCACAAAACCATTTGTGGTGTGACCCCCCCCCATCCTTCCTGAATTTGCTTATTTTTTGCTGCCTTTCTCTCCCCTGACTCTTTCATCCCTGTTGAATGACTGCCTGGGAGCCAGAGGTTTACCTGAGCGTATAGAGGACTTTCCCATCATTCCAGATCCGGAGCAGCTGGTTGGGAGTGGTGATCCAGTGGGAGTCAGCCCTCTTAGAGTTCCTGAAAAAGGTGTCTGGGATCCAAATCCGGCTCACCATATTGGTGTTGAGGGTGAGAGCTTTGAGGGTGCTGTTGAAGCGAAGGCGCCGGTCATACCACGTTTGGGCGAAGAATATGTCAATGGTGTATTCCTGTGAGAGGCACAAAAGAACATTATCCACAGCCTGCTTGAAACTGAGACCTGCAGCTCTTCATCCTGATGGGTGACATTTGGTGGAGATCATTATTAGCATTTGTATTGCAGGGGGTTGGACTAGATGACTCTTGGGGGTCCCTTAAGTGCCTTTTCAGGACCAGGCTCTCACAAAGTGATGCACATAAAGGAATGATAACAGGTTCCATTGGCTGTACAATCACTTGCTCAGAATCACACGAGTAATGAACCCCCTTAAGGAAAGGAAGCAATGAAGAGATGAGTTTCCAAGGTCCTTTGCACTGAAGGGCAAGTCACTCAAAAGGGGGCTCCATAACTTCCTCTCAAGAAGACCCCATCTCTCATACATATTAAACTATTGATTTTACTGGTAGCAGATCCTCTGAAACACATGTTAGTTGTAGTGTACAGGTAGGGTGACATGGTGGTCCCAAATCTGCATTATCCAGACTGAGAGATGTTCCGAAATACAGAAAAAAACCTGTGCAAAGACAGCCTTGAAAGGTGGGAGCACTCACTGAGCAGCAGCAGCTCACTAGCCGTGTAAGCCAGCAGAGGGAGGGCATGTCTGTCCCTGTGACATCAAAAAAGGGGGCTGTAGAGGGGACAGGTTAGTGTTAGGCAAGAAGGAAGCCAGTCAAACCAGCTCCCTCCTTCTGAAATGCTTGAAAGTTTGAATAAGGCAACAAATTGGTGCCATCTATGGGTAGCTATGGGGGGCAGGACCCCCCAATATTTTCAAGGAGGGCCCTAGTCTCCCCCCCCAATTCCACTGTGATACTCAAAGCATGTGGCAGCGGGAAGCATCTTCACCCTGGCGTGTCCCTTTGAAGATCACCAGAGTGCCTTCTAGAAAAGTGCTCTGGCAAGCTCCCCAAAGGACACACCAGTTCAAAGCATCTTCGTGCTGGCACACCTTCTTCCAGGGATGCAGTGAAGCTAAGGTGGCTGGTGGTCAGGAGGTGGCAGGTGGCAGGCCAAGTCGGCCTGGCTGGGTTGGGGGAGGAGAGGCACATATGCAACATCATATATGCACAATGGGCCCTTGCAATGTTGGGGGGCAACTCAGTGTGCCTGGGCAACAGTTCTGGACAAAATGCTTTTAAAAGAGAAACCTAATATTACAGTTTGAGAAGTTCAGGGTCTCTTTTCAACCTTTTCCTGGCTTCTTTCTTCAACAGCAATGCAGCTCTCCCACATCGCTTTACTTTCTTTGTTCCATTCTGTTGACTGTCTTTCTAAACACCTTATTTTCTAGTTTGACATACAATATTTTCACTCCCTTCCCCTGACAACCTTTCAATCAACCAGAAGGAGAGTACCATCCTCCTTAATTGCCAGGTTCCTGGGCTGAACATTTTACTCTCCTTTGTAAAAGTAAAACCTTTTCTAACGAACTACTGACACTCCTGTTCTTGTGCAAACTTTCGACCTTCCTGTGAAGGAGAACCAAAGACAAAATGGCTGAAGGTCCTAGTCTATGCCACTGCTCCTCACCTCCCATGCCCCAAAGTGGTGCTCATGGGTGTAGCCAATATTTATTTAGGGGGGGCAGGCTTTATCTTGGTGGGGGCAGAACTGAGTTATTTGCAACACAATTGGTCAGTTAGTTATTTTTATTCATTTACAATGGTACCTCGGGTTAAGTACTTAATTCGTTCCGGAGGTCCGTTCTTAACCTGAAACTGTTCTTAAACTGAAGCACCACTTTAGCTAATGGGGCCTCCTGCTGCAGCTGTGCCGCCAGAGCATGATTTCTGTTCTCATCCTGAAGCAAAGTTCTTAACCCAAGGTAATTTTTCTGGGTTAGCAGAGTCTGTAACCTGAAGCGTATGTAACCTGAAGCATGTGTAACTTGAGGTACCACTGTATTTGATTGACCCATGGTGGTGCTGCAGATTCCCTGCCCTCTAGAGCAAATAATGAAGATAAACCTTGCCTGGTTGGATTGGGTTCCTTCTAGGTGCTCCCTGGTGGGCAGTTGCTAAACTAACCCTCTCAGTCTCGTGCTGGGATGGGTAAAAGGTCCCCATAGTTGCTAAATGTCACATGCTACCTTGTGACAGAAGAATACATCTGTATGGAGGAACCAGAACCCAGGTGCTTCTGCTAAGAACCTTGAGGCTGACACAGACTATACAGGATCAGAGATGAGGTGTCATTGCTGTCTCTGGCTCAGTCACAAGGCACTTTTCCAAAAAGCAAATTTCTTGGTCACCTGAGGACTAGGAGGCTGATGCACAGGACTGTCCCACAAGGGCAGTTGGAGAGCAAGAGAATCGCCTTAGATTTTGCAAGGTAGGGGGTTTCTGGAAATGCAACCTAGAGCATATAGCTCAGGATTCCCTTCCCCTGCTATGAGCTTTGAGAGTTCAGTTCAAAGACATGCTGGGAATATTTCCTGCAGGTAGACACACACAGAGAGAATGGAAGCAATGAAGCAACACAGCCCGGAACAAAGGCCACCTCCTTGCAACTTGTAAGCTTCACTGGGACACAAGTTAAAGACATAGGAAACATCCCAATAGTTTAGTGAATATTTAATGTGTTTCATAATTTAATTCATCTAGATGCCCAAGCCCACCCAGATGCACTCAAGAAATCTGAAGCACATTACTAAATACAGCCCAGTCAAAACACACAGGCAGGATATGTTGCTGCTTTGGTTCAGGGGCAGCTTCTTTTCTGCTCCCCTCCCCATAAAAAATCAAAACTGTCCTCCATGTATGTTCCACTCTAACTTTTATGGAAGGGGGCAGTTGAAAAAAACCTGGAGCAACTATTAATTTGGCCCTGGACAATTGTCCCCCATGCCCTGCTCTGTGCAATAAATCAGATATTAACCCCCTGGAAACATAGTGACTGGAGTGGCCTTTGTTTGACTTTGATGTGGCTGCCCACACAGCTCTTGAATGCTGCTGAGGTACTGCGCTAGTACTTTCAGCTGGAAGTGGAATTAAAATGCAAACTCACACATAGATATAGTGCTGTTTACCCCATCAAACTCAGCACTGCCTGTCTCTATGCATAAGATCTTATATGCTTCTGTGGGGCTTAAGTCCCATTCCGCTATGGTCCTGTTTCTAAATGTCCCTTTGATAAGCAGTTTCCTCCTTGCTCCTTTCCTTTAAAACACCTAGTTAGTTCCTGTTCCTTTCTAGCCATGTGATTCCTGGGCTGAAAGTTAATTAGTCAGTTTTGGCTTTCAGTTAATTACTGGTTTCCTCACTCCAGCTAGAACAACTTCCTGTTATTTTATTTGCAATTGCTTTTGTTTCAAAGAAGAAACCAGCAATTAAATTCTCCTTTCTTGCTCCTAAGGATCAGGAACTGACCAAGGATTCCACCAGATGGCCTGTCAATTCAGCCTTCATCCTGATTTGCTTGAACAAAGCTTATGTAGTAGTTAGACTATATCCAGTTTTTTTGGCTATGCATTCTGATTTCATTACAGGTTGGGTATGTAATGATGAACAATCATCCTAAATTCATCCTGATTTGCTTGTGGTAAGGTAAAGGTAAAGGTACCCCTGCCCGTACGGGCCAGTCTTGACAGACTCTAGGGTTGTGCGCTCATCTCACTCTAGAGGCCGGGAGCCAGCGCTGTCCGTAGACACTTCCGGGTCACGTGGCCAGCGAGACGAAGCTGCTCTGGCGAACCGGCACCAGAGCAGCACACGGAAACGCCGTTTACCTTCCCACTATAAAGCGGTACCTATTTATCTACTTGCACTTAAGAGTGCTTTCGAACTGCTAGGAGGGTAGGAGCTGGGACCGAACGACGGGAGCTCACCCCGCCGCGGGGATTCGAACCATGCGATCGGCAAGTCCTAGGCGCTGAGGTTTTACCCACAGCGCCATCCGCGTCCCTTTGCTTGTGGTAGGTTTACACATATTTCTGTCAATGAGTTGTTCATCCCACAATTTCCCCATAACTTTTCAAACTGTAAAAGGTCTTTTTTTAAAAAAGTAGATTTATTGTGCTGTGGTGACAAGAGTGCTTTAATCCACTGTAAACATGTCAATCAAAAAAGTTACAGTGTGCCCTTGAATCCCTCCCTCAAAATACTGACAGACTGGACACACCATAATTATTGTCACTCAAGAAGGTGAGAGAACCAGAAGCAACTAAACAGCTGCTCAAAAAGGAAACTTTCACTTAAAGGCACAGTAACCCTGCCAAGCCTCAGCGTAACTGCACACTGGCTACGCTGGTATTATGACTGCATTCCTTAAGTGAGGAAAGTGCCTCTACAGGTGTAGAAAACGGCAACAGGAAGAGAACCTCAGAACAATGTCATTGGGGTTCAGTGTCAAGAAATAGTGCCTTCCAGTAGCACCTTAGAGACCAACTAAGTTTGTTATTGATATGAGCTTTTGTGTGCATGCACACTTCTTCAGGTACCTAAAGATATATGAAGAAGTGTGCATGCACATGAAAGCTCATACCAATAACAAACTTAGTTGGTCTCTAAGGTGCTACTAGAGGGATGCGGGTGGTGCTGTGGATTAAACCACAGAGCCTAGGACTTGCCGATCAGAAGGTCGGTGGTTCGAATCCCCGTGATGGGATGAGCTCCCATTGCTCGGTCCCAGCGCCTGCCAACCTAGCAGTTCGAAAGCACGTCAAAGTGCAAGTAGATAAATAGGTACCGCTCTGGCAGGAAGGTAAACGGTGTTTTCGTGTGCTGCTCTGGTTCGCCAGAAGCGGCTTAGTCATGCTGGCCACATGACCTGGAAGCTGTACGCTGGCTCCCTCGGCCAATAAAGCGAGATGAGCGTTGCAACCCCAGAGTTGGTAACAACTGGACCTAATGGTCAGGGGTCCCCTTTACCTTTACTTAAGGTGCTACTGGAAATAATTTTTAAATTTTGTTTTGACTACGGCAGACCAATAAGGCTACCTACCTGTAACAAGAAATAGTGCTTGCACTAGACCAACTGATTGGTGACATGGAAGCAAAACAATTTCCTGATGAAGAATCTGAATTATTTTAGAGCCTGGCCTGGCTCAGATGAGATTCCCCCCAAAATAGCTCAGTTGCTGCTCTCACTTCTCTCCCTTTTCTTCAGAAAGATTGCAGGACAAACATGACAGCTGCTCTTCCTGTTCTCTTTCTTTTACCTGATCAGACCCTGCTCCTGCTCCAGTAATGGTTGCCATATGGCTTGGAAGCAACATCTGCCACAGGCTCTCTGAGAAAGGCTGAACAATCAAACTATCCTAGGGCCCCTGTTCCCAACCTACTAGGAAAATTTGGGAAGAAGGGATACATATAAATTAAACACACAAACAGATTATATACATAATCAGAATTGCTCATCAACAGGCTTCTTCCATCAATTCTAATGCACATTGCAGTTAAGGCGGCCTTTAAGTAACCCTGGTGCAAAGAGTCAACAGGCATCATACTGTGGCTCAAGTCTTAGCCTTGGGGTCAAATGTGGCTTAGCTTTGATTAACTTTCCTCTTTTGGCCTCTGTTCCTCAACTGCCCATTGGGCCTGTAAGGGGACAGAGCGCCTTTCCAGGAAGGTCAGGGAACCCTCTACCGGCTACAGCAATGAGATGTTTGTCTGCTTCTCCCCATGGACCATTTTTACAACACACACCCCCAGACCACATGCAGTGAGGCCAGTTATACTCCTGTAGCACCTCCTGTGGCAACACCACCTCCCAAGCAGGTGCAGCCTGACACTATTAGCAGCAGATCATAATGACCTAGATGCATATGCTCAGCTCATGACCTAGCAGTCCTCACCTAAGAGACCAGAGAGAACTTGAGCATGACATCAGCCAAGTTCTGCTCAGGATAACACAACATGTCTGTAGTTAAGAAGACAAGGCTTTTGATAGGAAGAAGCTGGAGACTGTACAGCATAATTATGGGATTGGAGTGTCACCACCACCGCTGGGCCACCTGCTCACTGACCTTCCCCTATTCACAGTACTTTAGCACACTTCCACTCACAGTTGGGGAGGGCTGCAGCTGAGCTGGGGTTCTGCCCTCCAACAGGCAAGAAGTGTAGGAGATTTGCAGTCAAAATCTAACAATACATATTCTTGTAGTTAGTAAGTCTAGGGGCTAATGACCACAGAATGAAAATTTCTAGGCAGGCAGACTCAGACAACAGGAATGCAACTGGTGGAGAGAGAGGGCTATGTGATGTCATTTCCCCTGTTTCCAGTAGCAGGAAAAAATTGAGAAATATAATCCCTTATCCTTCCTGTTGCACACTCTCTCTTTGTTCTTCTGCCCCATGTCTTCAGGGGAGATAGATATATGTCTATGCTCTCACTGAGTGCAGATTCCATTTTAGAAATCAGCTATGTATTTTGTAACCTAGAAGTATTTTTACCTGCATTGCTTTTGCTGCTGTTGTTTGCTGAAAATGTGTGCAATACTTAGGTAAGTAAAGTCTATTTTTAACTTACTTTACAGTGTGGTTTGATTTTTTCACACACACACACACACACACACACACACACACACACACACACACACCAATCATTGTAATTATAGAGGGGGGAGTCAGCTTGCTAAATATAATGAGCTGTGTCAACCTTTCCTAAACTTCTAGTTTTCTGCCAAGGGGTGGTAATCTAAAGCTCCGCCCTACTCAGCTTTTAAGTGCAAATGCTAAACTGATTATTCTAAATGTTTAAGTCTCTCACACATAACGGGAGACTGGAAGGATAATTGTAATTAATATATCCTCTCCTACCTACTAAATCCATCCCTCAAGAAGAAGATGGGCTGTAGTGTCCCTTCCCCTTCACTGGTCTAGGGGTCATTAGAAAAGGATCTGAAAATAAAAGTGCCAGTATCATAATGCCATTATTGAAATTTATGGTGCAACCACATTTATTATAGTGTGTGAAGTTCTGGTCACCTCACCTCAAAAAGCATACTGTGGACATTCAGAAAAGGGCAATCAAAATAGTCCAGCAAGATGCTGGAATGACTCCCCTGTGAAGAAATTTTTGGTTTAATGAAAAGGGAATGAAAAGGTGGCATGATAGTTTGTAAAATTATGCATGGCACAAAGAAAGTGTATACAGAAAAGTTTTTCTCCCTGTCTCCTGGAGCTCATGGACATCCTACAAAGCTGAGTATTGGGATTCAGGACAGATAAAAGGAAGGACATTTTAGTTAAATTTTGGAGCTTGTCCCCTCAAGAGGCAGTGATGGCCACCAGCCTGGATGTCATTAAAAGACAACTGGTCAAATTTGTGGAGGAGAGGGCTATTTATGCCTACTAGCCATAATGACTATGTTCTGCTTCCATAGTCAGAGGAAGGAAAGCTTCTGCAAACAAGTTGCTGGAAACCACAGGAGGGCTCTTGGTCTTGTCTTCTAGGCATAGCATCACCCTCATCAGTGGCAGCCAGCCGGAGCTTCTACTCTTCCTCCCCGTCCTGGTTATCAAATTTGTCGTGCAAGAATTTAATATTTACATTTTTCTGCTGTTTTAAGAATAGAGTGCTGTCCTTGGTCCTGAAGCCTTACAGCACTTTACAGAATATAAAAAGAGACTCTTAAAATTTGTTAGTTCAAAGGAAGAGTTTTTGCAGCCTTCGTTCCTTCCTGTGAGCAGGCTTTTCACAAATGAAAGCTGCTGCTCCTCTAGCACAGCGCCCTACCTCTCCTTTCTTAGTATGCATGGCAGCAGCTTCAGCAAAGAGGCTCGGCATTATAGCTTTAAAAAGGTTCTTATTATTTGCCGAGGAAATGCTGATGGCTTACTGAAAACACATGTTCAGTGGTTTAACAGGGAAAGGGTCTCTTCACCCCTTTGAATAAGCAATTGGCAATGAAAAAGGGATTAGCTCAGCCTGCTCCAGTGGAAGACTGAGCAACGATGAGGCCAAGGGTGGAGGGGGAGGAATGATTCTGTGGGGCTGGAAGATTCGTAGTCTCAGCCGACCATATATGAAAGAGAACAGGGCATGTGCAACTTCAATCCAAGCTGACTTCAGGTGGACTTTGGAACTAGTAATTCTGGCAGCACTAAGTCCCTAACATCTTGGCAGTGGGTGGGTGGGGGTCGTCTCCGTGTGTATATTCTCTGGTGAGTATACAGATGAGATAAGAAGATAACAACATAAGAATAGCCTTGCTGGATCAGGCCAGTGTCCCACCTAGCCTAGAATCCTGTTATCACAGTGGCCCACTAGATGCCTCAGTGGGAAACCCTCAAGGAGGCTTCAAGCACAAGAGCACCCTTCCCTTCTGTGGTTTCCAGAAACTAGGATTCGGAAGCATCACAGCCTCCAACCATGGAGGCACAACATAGCCATTTTGGATAGTAGCCACTGATATTCTTCACCTCTTCCATTAATTTGGAGGATCCTCTGTTAAAGCCATCCATGTTGGCTGCTATCATTGCTTCCTGTGGAAGCAAGTTCCATAGCTGAACAATGCACTGTATGTAGGAATTTATTTTTTTAATCTATCCTGAATCTTCTAACACTGAGCTTCACTGGATGCCCACAAGTCACTTTCTTTCTTTCCTTCTCTCCTTTCCCCTCCCCAACCCACTTATACACATATCTGCCACTCCACATTTCTTCCAGTTTCCACTGTTCTCCCAAAGGGTTCAACACTCACCATGTGGATCACAGAGACAGGCCCAATGCTGTTTACGTAGATGTCCACATCAATGAAAGTGGGCTTGACTGTAAAAGAGATCGCAAAAGAGAGGACAGGTCAGCCATGGGAGAGTGGTTATGCCAAGGGCAGCCATGAGGATAGGTGAGCTCAGTGATTTATGTGTTCCCAAAAGTGCACCCAAAAGTAGCTCTGAAAATAATACAACAATGCAATCCAATGTAATTCAATGAAAATGTGCAGACAGAAAACTTAACAGCAGTAAGAGAAACACAATAATTAAAACTTTTTAAAAATAAATGCCCATGAACACAAATCAGTTTTCTGTGTCTACTTAAAAGTGAGCCATGAAGGGGCCTGGGGCGTCTCTCATTGGGAGGCTGATCCATAATTTGGATGTCACCCACAGTCAAAAAGTCCACACCTGCTATGCCTGTGCCCAGAACAAGGTTGCCCCAATGATGAGACATGGAGAAGCAGCCACCTCAGATGGCAAAAGATCCCAAGGCGGTACTTTCATGGGCACCCCCACCTACCCCACCTGCTTCTGCTGCCACTGGAGAAATAGCACTGGTGCCAATTTCCTCCAAGATCTCATAGTGGAGGCAATAGGGCAGGCAGTGCAATAGTGATGTAGCATGGGGGGGTCTGAGGGGGCTGTCACCCCAGGCACAGTTGGGGGGGAATCATGTGCCCTGCCCCATCATGAGCTGTTGTGTACTCAGCACCCTGAAGCCTGAGGGCACCATGAGAAGGATATAACAGGTCATGGCACCCTCCTTGTGAGCCAAGCAACACTCGTAAAAGCAGTGCTGTGCTTTCAGGGCCCAGGGTGCACACCTGCTCACAGCATGTTTTTGTGAGTCTTGCAAAGCGACACTGGGCCTGTGGAGCACCATGAGTGCACCCTGCTTTGCAGCAGTGGGCAAGGCTCACTCCAGTAGCACACCCTGCCCATGGACCTGTCCCTTGGTGCACCCTCCGCATGCCCAAGCACTCACGCACCCACCCTGAGTGCATGCCACTCCTGGGTGAGGCTTTGCAAGGGCTTCTCCTTAAGAAGCTCTTACAAAACCTCACTGCTGAGCAGGAAAGGGGGAGATTAAGCAAAGACTTCTCTTTAAGGAAAAGCTCTTCTTGAATCTCCCCACCTCGCTGGTAGGGTGACATGGCTTTGCAAGGACTGCTCCTTGAGGGGAAGCCCTTGCAGAGCCTAACAGCTGCCCATCATGAGGCCAACAGTGGAACAGTTTGCTGCTGGTGCCTAAACACCTCAGGCTACCCCTGGCCCAGAGGAGAGCACCCTTAAGAGAAGTTCTTGAAAAGGTTCCTTTGGAAGTTGGCAGTTCCTTGCAGCTGAAGCAGCTGAAGCAAGTGCCACAAACTGAACCCAGAAACATTTTAGACTCCAATGCAGAATACAATCTGCTCTGCTGCTCCCAGAGAACTCTCTGTCAGCTAAAGTTTCTGGGCTCTCTTGGAAGGGCAGCCTAAGGAGCAAACTAATGCAACTTGTGGCTAACATTTTTTTTTAAAGTAGCCACAATAAAAAAAGAAGCAGAAGCAGCAGGTGTGGAGCCCTGGTCCAGAAAATGTTTTCGATCTGGATCAGGAGTATGTGCTAGTTTTTCTGCTGAAAATTGTCCCCTGTCTAGCAGTTGGGTAGGGAAAAATTTCCAGTAGAAAACTGGCCTGGGGCCCCTCTATGGCTGCTTTTCCTCAAAAGTAAAAGTGGCCAGATTAAGCTGGCACCCAGTGTACACCCACCTGCCCACCCAGACTGACTGTAAGTAAGCAAGTGGTAGACTGAGACTGGGGCCGCACCCCTTTTGCTCTCATTGCCCACCCTCTACTAATTTTGCCCTCTGCCTCTACACCCCAGTGCTGCTGGACTTGGGAACCTGGTGCTCAGCATACAAAACATTGATGCCAGCAATCAATCATGTCCCATGTGCTTCCCCTTTCTCTGCAACCTGCACCCCTCAGTCAAGGGTGCCTTCTAGCTGAGGTCTCCCTTGGGAGGAGCAAAACTTACTGCTGATATCAGGGCGCAGCTTGTTGTCATAGTTCTGGAGGAGGGAGTTGAGGATCTGTGTGGCATCCGTCTCCTGGGCTTTGGGGGTTAGGACCCAGGTTTTGTTTGTGTTGCTGAGGTAATCGTAGTCATATTCCTCTGTGCTCTCTGCCCTGCAAGGGAAACAGGAAATCCATGGAGGAGCAGGCAATGGGAAAAGCATACCTCGATCTCAGACCCTGGAGAGTTGCTGGCAGTCAAAGGAGCTACTCAGGGGCAGGTGGGTGCAGCAGGGGACATTTCTGCCCACCAACACCATCGCAACATTTTGGAGAGGACGTACCGTGTTTTTTGCTCTATAGGACGCACCTGACCATAGGATGCAACTTGTTTTAGAGGGGGAGAACAAGAAAAAAAATATTTCCCCCTCTCTGCGCAGCGCCCATTCAGCGAATCGGCAGGAGAAACAGAGCCCCTTCCATTTCTCCTGCCGCTTCGCTGAACGGGTGCTGCGCAGAGTGGGGGAGATTTTTTTTTTCTTGTTCTCCCCCTCTAAAACAAGGTGTGTTCAGTGCGTTCAAGGTGTGTTCAGTCGCCTTCAGTGAAGGCAACCCGAAGCCTCCGGAGCACAGCGGGAACTTTCGACCTGCTCTTCCTGTTCCTTTCTTTCTTTCTTTCTTTCTTTTTATAATAATATTTATTAGTTTTCCAACAAATTGAACACAACACTACAAAAAAACAAAAAAGAAAAAACATACAATAATACAATGCAATACAAAAAACAACAACACTGCAAAACACTAACATACAACTAACAAAACAAAACAAAAACCATTTAAAACACAGTCCAATTTCAATATTTTATCTTTCTTTCACTAATTTCCACGACCTCCCCATACCTCCCTTTTTGTATTCCACTTCTATTAATTGTTTCAGCAATTCCTTTCCATCTTCCTCTATTTTCTATCCTATAATTGTCTTAACACATTCTAACCTTATTTTTCCCTTTAATTCTCTAATAATCTATTTATACTTAATTCCTTATAACATTTCTACTAAAGCCATATAACTTCATTCCAACATTTTTCTAACATTCATTAATTTTACAGTATTTCTAAATACTCTTTGGGGCAGGCAGGGAAGCAGCGGAAAGGCTGCGCACAGCCTTCCCGCTGCTCCCCAGCTTGTGGGGCTGGCGGTGGGGGGCAGCGCGCTTTCCCCTACTGCCAGCCTCAAAGAGCAGGTCGGGGACCAGTGGAACGGCTGCATGCAGCCTTCCCGCTGCTCCCCGAGCTTGTGGGGCTGGCAGTGGGGGAAGCACACTTTCCCCCACCGCCAGCCTCAAAGAGCAGGTCAGGGCTGGCAGGGGAAGCCCGGGTTGCCCCCCCCCAGCCCCATGGACCACACATTCGCTCCATAAGATGCACAGACATTTCCCCTTAGATTTTAAGAGGAAAAAAGTGCGTCTTATGTAGCGAAAAATACGGTATATAGCACAACAGGCATACGTGAACCTCAATACAAGTTGATGTGCTATAGCACTGCAGCTTCTTCTCCTGCAGTACAAATCAATATAGGACTATCTGTGTTCCTGGTACTTAACATAGCACAAGAGGAGAACTCCATGTCCCAAGGAGCATACAATCAAAATTCAGCACAGGGAAAAGCAGGAGCAGTCTGGGTGAAAATGACCAGCAGGGGGTAAAGCAAGAAGCAGTATGCAACTGCGACAGTTCCCCCTGCTTAGGCTTACTCCCAGGGTAAGGAATCATAGGGCATGGGATCCAGGTGGTGCTCATTTGAATAAATGCTGTTCAAGTCACTGAAGCAGAGTCCAAACTGTGGGGAAATAAATATACGAATCCCTGTGACCCATGTGTGGGGGGTAAATAACAAAAGAATCAGCTGGGTGCCTGGATTCAACATGTGGGGCTAAACTCACTTTCGAGTAGGAGAGAGCACCCAGTAGCAGAGTTCAAACTCACAAAAGTTTAGCAGCAGTATAACGTGGGAAAATAGGTTGTTAGACCCCTTATCCTGTTTAGCAGCATAAAGAGCTCCCCTCTTTCTATCTCTCCTGCAATGAACAGACCACACACTGTTAAGTACATTTAAAATGCTTTGCTTAAAGGTGTGTGGTCTGTTCATTGCAAGAGAGGTAGAAAGAGAATAACTTGTTCAAAAGGTCAGATTAATGCGTTTATCCAAACAGCAGCAAGAAGAACACAGGCAGAATACTTGGGGGTGGGGGCGAAATACAAAAGGATAGTTTCAAACACATGGTCTACGCTTGGAGTGAAGATTAGACATGTACCTGATAGGCTACATGGTGAAAAGGGTGGTAAGTGGAAGACAATGCTCCGCTTCCTTATTCATTGGAGAGCGTGTGTGTGTGTGACCTAGTTGAGTCTAGGAATCCAACTCTGTGGTTTTAACCCCTTATCACACTAACTAGCACTCATGCATAGTTATGTTTGACTGCAATTTTCCCCACACATGACATGCTCATGCAGAGATAACTCCTGACAAAAGTGAAGGCTGCAAAGAGCCAGGGATGTAAAGAACTGGAGGCTTGAGTGGCAGGCGCTCTGCTACACTAAATCTGTACAGTTCTGGCTATCTCATCTCAAAAAGGAGATTGAAGAGCTGGAAAAGTTTCAGAAAAGGGCAACCAAAATGATCAATTAGATGGAGCAACTCCCCTATGTGGAAAGGGTGCAGCATTTGGGGCTTTTTAATTTAGAGAAAGGGCAAGTAAGAGGCAACGAGATAGTTTATAAAATTATGCATGGCATGGAGAAAGTGGACAGAGAAAACTAACCCCCCCCCTGAAACACTAGAATTTGTAGGCATCAAATGAAGCTGAATGTTGGAAGATAACATGAAGTCCTTTATGCAGCACAGAGTTAAACTATGGAACTCCCTTCCACAGGAGGCAGTCATGGCCACCAACTTGGATGTTCTTAATAGAGGATTAGACAAATTCATGGAGAAAGCTATCCATGGCTACTTTCCACAATAACTATGTTCTTCCTCTACAGGCAGTAATGCTTCGGAATGGCAGCTGCTGGAAACCAGAGGAAGGGAGAGTGCTCTTTTGCTCAGGTCCTACTTGTGGGCTTCCATTTTGAGCATCTGCTTGGCCACTGCAAGAACAGGATGCTGGACTAGATGGGCCCCCTTTGGCCTGATACATCAGGGCTCATCTTATGTTCTTATGCTCTTTTGAATCCCAGGCAGGAAAACTGAGAGATCATTTCAATATGTGCCATTGGGTAACTTGGCTGCTGTGATGTGCCCCAGCACACGTGCACGCACGCACACCGTAATACAATAAGGCACTGGATTTAAAGACGTGTGCCTCGAGATGCCCCTTCCTCTGCCTGCTTATTGATTCAATTTTAGTGAGAAGTTTACAATCTCCCCTCCCAGCTTCCACTTCCCAGTAATAAGCAGGGGAAGCTCTTCCATCTCCCAGGTGTAATAAGTGATGGCAAGGCTCCTGCAGGCACCAAGCAATTAGGGAGGTGCAGGGGACATGCCTTGTGCCTGTTAATGGAAATGTCACACGCAGCAAACATTTTGCAATCAAGAGCTGAGCAGGCTGGAGGAGATGTTGTGTCAAGACACAGCAATTCAATCTGGCAACTTGTGAAAGGTACAGCCCAGCTCTTGTCTTGCTCAGACAGAATCAAGAGGAAAAGGTATTCATGCCTGACATACTGTAAAACCTGCTTGTCAAAACAAGCACCTCTCTTGACCAGGCAATTCATGAAAAGGCAGCTCAGGTGGGAGAGACCTACTGGAGCACTATCATCCTGTGTGCGTGTGTGTGCACGTGCACGCATGCACGCATGCACACACACACACACACACACACACATTTTATGGTGGGTGTGCATGATGGGCTGTGGGGGGCAGGCAAGCTAAGGGACAGCTTTGCTCCCTGGCCAGGGATATGTCAGCCATATTAATTAACAGATTCAGAAGAGAAAGATGGGTTTTGACATCTCCTCCTTGGGTGATGCTTGACATTATCCCAAAATCAAGCCATGTCAGCAGAGGCCAAGTACACTTGGCTAAAGAAAGAGCACCCAGACCTCAGCTAACTGTAGTCAGCTCAGAAGGGGGCAACAAAAACACACAGATTGGCAGATTCAGAGATTAGTTTCCAGATCTGAATTGTGCTGTTTTTCTGGTCCAGACACTTCTGAGGAGGTGTGTAAGCTCATCAACTCTGATTGGCAGTCCATGTGGGAAATAATAGTTCAGCCGAAATAAAATTTCATGTGTTGCTAGATAAGCAAAGGCACATGGGTCTCCCCTGTATATTCATAGAGAGAGCACTTTGTGAGGTCACATCCCCTGCTTATCTGCACAGGGAAAGGTAACCAAAAGAAGAAGAATCCTTACTACTTATGTCCTGCTCAGAGCTCAGTCTTCTTCCCCATGTAACAAAAGAGAGAGGATGCTTGTCTGTGCTCTTCTGAGCACAGACTCCATTTTGATCTCAACCATATATTTTGTAATGTACAAGTAGATTCTGCCTGTCTTGTTTTTTACTGCTGCTTACTGCTCAATCAAATCTGAAGCTTTATGTAAGTAAACAAAATATATATTCTTGCATTATAGACTTCTCTGCGTTTATTTTGTTTAGAGAGATAAAAAGGGGAAGATGCAATCTGCTGAACCATCCTGGATAATAATATTAAGGTAAAGCAACCCTTTGTCTCAGGAGTTTCCACATTTTATAATGCAAAGAAATGTCAATTTTAAACTCTGCTTACTAGGCATTAAGTTCATACAAGTAAGAGGAGGGATAAATAAGAATATTCTATCCTACTCTCCAAATCCATCCAACATCCCACAGGCTTACTTTTGTTCAGTCACCCATAATTTGTGGTTGCCACCAGTCTCTTCCCCCCTGGTAGGTACAGAGAACAGGGTCACCTCTCATTTGCAGGGGGTGTCAAGATGAAGGGCTCGGGGTAGGCTTGGGAGTCACGGGCAGGCAGCACGCCGAATGTCACCACCCCTCAGTGATAACACCCAAGGTGGACCAACCCCACTGCTCCCCTTCCTCCGCCCCTGTATGAGGGAAGGCATACAGTGGAGTTGGGGTTGGAAAGGGAGGATTAGCTTGGGGAAATGGAGGCAGAGAACAAGGTGACCT